AGTGGGAAGTTAACCAGCACCCACTGTTTGTTTGAAGGAATAGTGTGGTAAGGGTGGTGTCAGGCCTGGGCTTGAGAGAAGTAAATTAACTTGACCATTTTAATTCAAGTTAAGTTTTTCAGGAAAAAATCCTTAGGAATACTTTATGAAAGATGCTTTTTTAGCTTTTAATAGTAACCATAATGTTGACTCATGCTACAGTGATAATGATAATACTACCGTGTTAATTTATGCTACCAATCTCACTGGTTTGTTGTGAGGAAATTAATTTTGCAAACCAGAAAGCACCATGTGGATCATGGATTTTGAGCTGGAAGGTTTGGCCTTCTTAGTCCAAACCCCTCATTTTAGTAATGAGGCTGGGAAAGGTTAAAGGAACTTTTCCAAGGTCACACAGGGAGGTTGGGATTGAGACCAAGGTCCTGACCCCAAACCCAGCACTCTTTTCATTGTATTAACTTTGACACAAACCCAGCACTCTGTTCATTAAATACTAATCTTAGTTCCTTCCCCATCTGTCCTCCCCTCCCCCTCATCAGAAATACTTTCTGGAAGGAACAGCCCTGACAGAAGACTCTGGGGCAGCTTTTTGAAGTAGCTGTGTGATTTTTGGCTTATGTTTCTATGCAACGATGAGGCACTTAGATAGTTGAAGGAAGAGTTGCCAAAGGGCAAAGAATAGAGGTGTTACAGGACCATACTGCATTCAGTGTCAAGCTATCAGAGCATATGTCTTAACTCAGACAGTTTTCAGCCAGGTTTCCAGTTGTAAACACAGTGGCAAAAGGCTCTTAATGACTCAGAGTCTTAGAGAACAGATGTGACAACAAAGCCATTACTTCTGCTAAATTTACAGGTGGCAGACTCTTCTGGATATGCATTTTTTAAAAAAGGCAGTGGCAGAAGTTGTAGAGAGAATAACTGTTTCCTAACCTATCTGAAACCAAGTTAAAGGACAGCACACAGTTTGCTAAACTGGAATATTGTTTTCCAGCTTTTGACTGTTGTCCTTCATTGCCATTGAGGTCAGTGTTGTTTTTCCAGGATTGGAAATTTTTTGTCTCTGGCATCTGCCTCCTTTTCTTTACTCACACAACTACCACAAGGTTCAGGCTCTTGTCACAACCTTCCTAGACTCAGTAGCCTCCTGTTTTTATGTCTCTCCTTTTTCCACTCCAACCTTCCAGATGGCTGTCAAACTGATTATCCTAAAGAGTAGGCCAGTCTGTGTCATTCTCCTATTTCTTCAATTTCAGGGGGTCCCTTATTGACTGTAGGATCAAATGCCATTTCATCTTTATCTTATTTTTAATTTTTTTGCATAATTATAATTAGGACAGTAGTACATGTGCATTATTTATAAATAAATTTATGTATTCTAAAAAACTTGCTGAAGGGCTACAGAACAATTCTAGATTTAGTCTGTGACTTTTCACTTACATAGGGTAGATTTTATAAACTTATTATTATGCATTTAATTTTTAAAAATTGTTGATATTTTTGTTTTTATATCACATTCATTTCTGAGTGTGCCCCTAATCCTTACTAGCCTTTCTCTATAACAAAACTGGAAAAAAGAAGTAATTCAGCAAAAATATATGTGACATTTCACAATCATAATCTTTCACCTGGCCAAGGAAAGAAGGTAGGCTGTGCCTTCCATTTTCTGAAGATTACATAATGCCTATGAAGACATTTGAAACGTTATCTCCATGATCTAAAGTAAGGTTTTCTGTGTTTATTCTAAAAGAAATAAAGCATATTATAATGGAGCAGCATAATGGTGACAGATTATTTATATAGTGCTTTAAAATTAACAAAGTACTTTCCTCACGACAACCTGGTAAGATAAGTAGTAGTAATCTATGGTATTTCACCTCATAATTGTTGCACCCTGTTTTTGTTTTTGGGTTGTTTTTTCTTCAGTCCAAAATAATTGGTTTATAACCTTTCATTGCGTAATTGTCGCATAATATAATTCTGTTTGTCCCACTGCTTAAAGGTAAACAGAGTAGCAATGTATTCACTAGTGGCATATGGATACGCCTTTATTTCACCTTAAGAGCTGTGAGCCTAAAATTTTCAGCACACATGCATTGTCAGTATTCAGTTTTAAAGGAGTGTTCCATGCATCTTAATCTTGCACTAAAGATCATTTAGTAATAAATGATTTTTAAGTAATGCCAGCACAATTTTTAAAAAAAGCTTCACAACGATCGCACCCCCACTTTTGCAAAAATATTTGGTATAAAATCTGCAACTATTATGTGGTAAAATATGGTAATTGATATGTTTAGCATATACCTTTAAGGAGAAATGAAGACTGGTATATACTGTCAGTCTGCTTATTATAGGTTACTGTCTTAATAAGTGTATAATTTTATTATGGTTAATGACCATGTGGGAAAAGGGTGAAATTACATGCACTTTTGTTTCAGTAGGCATACTTTTTGGGAATGAAATATCCCTAGAGCAAAGGTTCTTTACCATTTTTATCTCATGGACTCCTTTGACAGTTTGATGAAGCCTATGGATCATTTTGAAGAAAACTTTTTTTTTTTTTGATCAAGGCAGTGGGGTGAAGTGACTTGCCCAGTTCACACAGCTAATAAGTGTCAAGTGTCTGAGGTGAAATTTGAACTCAGGTCTTCCTGAATCCAGGGCTGCTATCTATTCACTTCGCTACCTAGCTGCCCCCAGAATAATGTTTTGTTTTTTTTTTAATACATAATCAATTATGTAGTTATTTTTTTAAGCCCGTAAACTCCAATTTAAGAACTCTTGGTTTAGAAAGGTCAGTTCAGAAAGGATGATGCTTTTCCTCCAAGAAGCAGTGTTATAAAGGGGGATGGAGGTGAGAAGGGAATAAGAATATTATTTAACATCAGTATGTGCCAGGTACTATGCTAAGCACTTTATAAATATTATCCCATTTGATCCTCTCAGTAACCTTGTGAAGTAGGTACTGTTATTATTATTATTCTCCATTTTAGAGTTGAGGAAACTGAGGCAGACAGAGGATAAGTCAGGGATGGGGAACCTGTGGCCTCAAGGCCACATGTGGCCGTCTGGGTCCTTAGGTGCAGCTTTTTGACCGAGTCCAAGTTTTACAGAACAAATCCTTTTATTAAGAGGATTTGTTTTGAGAAATTTGGATTCAGTAAAAGGGCCAGCACTTAAGAACCTAGAGGGCCACATGTGGCCTCAAGGCCACAGATTCCCCATCCCTGGGTGATTTACCTTGAGTCACATAGCTAGTATCTTAGGTCAGATTTGAACTTGGGTCTTTGTGCTATCTAAGTAGTGGCACAAAAGCTCAGGAAAGAGTAACTGAAATTGATTTATTTTATTCCCCTTTTAGTTTACTTACTCATACTTTATGGAATTCTCTTCCTGTTTCCCTCCCTGTCTACATCCCTCCCACTTTTTTGCTCTTCCTTTTTCTCTAGGTGATCTTCCCTTGATCCACTTTACATATTGCTACAGTTTCATTATGGGTTAAAAGGCTTTTATTGGTAGTCTGCAAACTTAACAGCCAGTCATAATGTTGTTTCTTTGAAAAACTGCATTTTATAACCTTGGCCTAGAAGAGAATTCTGAGACTTTGAGGAACACTTCTTTCTGACCAGGACTCCAGCAAAGTGAACTGATAGTTTTTGCAAGTAGAGTGTTCATGAATCAGGAAGGTTGAAAGAGTTTTTTGGGGGAGCAGTGTAGGGGGGAAACTTAGTTAAGATGCTTTAAAAATGTTTGTTCCAGCCTCTTTTTCACAGATTTCACAGATTAAAACTAGCTAATAGAAACACAGATAGACACATAGGATTTAGAGCTATAAAGCCATCTCATTGAAGCTAGTTACTGTAGAGGTGACAAAGCTAAAATCCAGAGAGGGGAATTAGAACTTTCCTCCAAGGTCATAGGATTGATAAAGAGAAGTCAGAATTTGAACCTAGGTCCTCTGAAAAAATTCAGTGCTCATTTCGCTCACAATATCATGCCATTTCACCAAACTGATATTAATAAGACATTTTATTTGCAGAAAGTTATGAAAAGAATGCTGGCTTTGAGGTCAGGACCTTGGTCCCAGTCCCAGGCTTCCTCCTACTTTCCTGGGTGACCTTGGACAATTTCCTTTAACCTTTTCCAGTCTCATTTGTAAAAGGAGGGATTTTGACTCAGATGGCCACTAAGGTCCCTTCCAGCTCTAAATCCATGATCCTATGTGGTGCTCTTTGGTTTATGAAGTTAATTTCCTTGAAACAACCCAGTCAGATCAGTAGCATGAGTTAAGTAAGGCAGGAAGAAAAGAGGTTAAGTGATTTCCCTAAACAATCAAAAGCAGTCAGAACTGAAATCCAGGTCTCTTGGGTCCAAGGCTATTGCTTTTTCCACAATCACTGTAACTGAGCCTGATGATTTTCTTAAGATGTTAGTATTTAGTGAAAATGTTCAGTTGTTTTCAGTCTTGCCTGATTTTTTGTGACCTAGATTGGGGTTTTCTTGGCAAAGATACTGGAGTGCTTTACCATTTCTTTTTTCCAGCTCATTTTACAGATGAGGAAACTGAGGCATATGGGGTTAAGTGACTTATTTGCCCAAGGTTACACACCTAGGGAAGACTGAGAGTTCCTTACTATAGACCCCACACTCTATCTATTCTGCCACCTAACTGCTCTGGTATGAGTCTTAAACATTTATTTTGGAAAATATTGAAACATTTATTTCTCTTTATCAACACTTGTTTAAAATCTGTATTCTTACTTTTGTAAAGAAGTACTATGTGGAATTATAAATACTGACATATTTTAATTTATATTACATATAACTGTTTAGCAAGTATTTGAAACTTAGAAGCCTGATCTTTCTAAATAAATGTAGGAAAGTTAAATTATTAGAAGACTTCTCATAGATATTATGTCTGGAACTAAACAGAAAAATCCCATTATGACAATGCAAATAACTTTATCCTCCCCCCCCCATCTTTTTCTTCTCTGCAATAGAATCTAAAAGCAGATCCAGAAGAGCTTTTTACAAAACTTGAAAAAATTGGAAAAGGTTCCTTTGGCGAGGTGTTTAAAGGCATTGACAATCGGACTCAGAAAGTAGTTGCCATAAAAATCATTGATTTGGAAGAAGCAGAAGATGAAATTGAAGACATTCAGCAAGAAATCACAGTGCTGAGTCAGTGTGACAGTCCATATGTCACCAAGTATTATGGATCTTATCTTAAGGTAAGAAATTTTTTAAAGAATTCTTTCGATTTTTGAATGTGAAGCCTTTTGCAGATAATGTGGAGAGTTTATGTGAAAGGCTTGGATAGCGTAGCTTGCTTTCAAAAGAGAAGAAGAGGAAACATTTTGACCTTTGCAGTCAAGTAGACTTTGCTATCTAAAGCATAAATCTTCTGGGTTTGTACATTGGTGACATTTAAAATTGCGAGATAATGTAAATATTTATTATAGGACAAATTGTTTGGAGGTTAAAATTCAATTCAGTTTTGGGGTGGTGGTGGTAGTCTAGGATCTTTGTCCTTGAAAAGAGAACACGTTGAACTTCTTAAATTATTTTAGCAACCAATGTAGATTACCTGATTTTAGAAAGAATTCTTAATAAAATTCATATGGACTTAGCAATTTTATACTTAGGAGTTTGCCAGTTATAAAGTTTACATTATTTAATTGAATACTGCCTGAAATTTTTTTTTTCAATTGAACATACAAATTTGTGTGTTAGTTTTACTTTTCAGGCTCTTGGTCTAATAAACCATCATAATGCCTTTTAGGAAAAATTGGAGGCGCGGTACAAGTACAATAACCATGATTTGTGTTTATTCAGTGGTGTTGGAGCAATATTTTCCTGCCTTTTCCTTTTCCCCTTATGAGTCAAGTAAAGTGAATGGAGGCCCACTTGAATTAGTCTTCTCTAAAGAAGAACTAGAATACCACTCATTTCTTTTTTCATCTCCACCTCAAGTCACATCTTGTTCTTTGACCTGATAAAGTGTTTTCTATATTGGGGATTAGGAACTCTCAGAGGATTGTTTTGTTGGAGAATTCTGAGGAGGTTCTTATAGAAACTGGAATTTTATTTGTATTGACAACACAATAGTGAACTATAAGCTGTGTGTAGAATGAGCTGGTCCCTTTTACCTCTGAGTTTTCCCCCTCCATTTCTGCTATATTAGTATCTTCTGATACTAAGAAGAATATATGAACTACATTAGTTTAGTTTTTGTTTTTTTCTTAAAGAGGAGTTGGAGGTGTTTTTAGTTTTAAAATGATAAAAAGGATAGGAGGATTGTTTGTAAAAAGTTTGAGAATCATTGGACTATTGAGTGGACGTTTTAAGATACTCAGCTTGGAAGGATGGTCATGTTTTTAACAAAATAGTTTTAGTTTTTCACAAGTTACCTCTTTATATTTTTAAAACTCCTCATCTATAAGCAGCTTTGAGTATAACAAGCTTCCTTAGAAACATCTCTGAATTAAACCTAACCAAAGAATCCTACCTTAAAGTGAATTTATTGTTAAGCAGAACAAAGGAACACATTGACTTTTTCTAACAACATATGCCCTTATTTTGCACTTACCCTCTATTGTTCTGTTGAAAGTGGGAAACTATATCTCATTATCATTATTGTTATCAATCTTTTGAAGTCAAGACTGCATTGATTTGAATTTTGATGTCTTTCTTTACACTATTGTCAATGTATATATATTGTTCTCTTGATTCTGCTTTTTTCATTCTGCCTCAGTTCCTAGAAAATTCTTAGAAATTTCCTGAATCACTCAAATTCATTATTTCTTATGATGAAATAATATATTCCAGAATTGTTCACTGGAACGATAGGACTGGTTGGTAGTTTTACCAGTAGTGTGTTAACGTGCCTATTTTGCCCACAGCCTCTATAAGTTTGACTAATTTTATATTTTATCATCTTGCTTATTTGCTGAGAGTGAGAGGAAATTTCAGAATTGTTTTAATTTATGTGTCTCTTAAAATGATTTGAAGCATTTTTTGTATATTAATGGTTTGCATTTCTTCTTTTGAAAATTGTTTATATCCTTTAGCTTCTTATAAGGCTAACTTGGAAACTGCTGTTGGTCTTATATATTTGTTAGTCCTCTATACATTTTTAATATCAGAGCTTTATCTCAGGCATTAATACAAGTATTTTTCCCCATTCAACCAGTTCTTCTTTGAGAAGTCATTATCTTTTATAGGTGGTATCCCAAAAGTCTTAATGTACTTCTAAACTGTTATGACTTAAAACTGCACTAAGACTTTTGGGACATCATGCATTTTTATCACTTCCCCCATATGTATTTAATATCAGAGATGTTTGAGGTAAATAGTGCCACTTGATAAGATATCTTAATTTTGTTCATACAAAAGCAGTGTATAGTTTTAAAAAGTAACATGTTATTAAAATTGTCAGTTTTGGTTTTTGTGATCTACCCCCCCCCCCCCCCCCCCCTTTTTTTGATGGCAGGATAGTTCAGGGATAACTTTTTTTCTCTATCTTTCTTCAGATAGGGCAAAACTTTTTTTAAAGTTTTCATTTTCTTTTTTATTACACACATTATGATCATTAACACAGATGAATGTTTCCATTATAAAGAACAACAAAAAAGCGGACTATATATGAAATTGTGAACTTTTGTTCTCTTTTTAAAAATCTTTAGGTATAAATGAGATGACCATTTGTTCAGAGTATTAAGTTGAGAATTCCTTTGGTGTGTGGGGTTGAACAAGATGATCTTTGAGGCCCTTTCCAACTTTCAAATTCTGTGAATTCTTTTCAATGAAGATATATAATTAAAACTAGAAATAATGCTGTTCTTCATTTTACGTACATAGTACATTTAATATACAAAGTTGCTTGTTCTACAAATATTCAGTGACATTTGTGTGCTAAATAACAGTATAGCCTGTTTGGAAAAATTACATCTTTTTCTTAAGTCACTGAAATAGAAGATTATGTGCTCCTTTGCTAAAAGAATATCAGAGAATGAAATCTTGCAAAAAAGATATTAAGTATTATAAATCTGAATTAAAAATTCCAGACCTTTGATTCTGTTTTCCCTGTGAATTATTAGCAGGATTTAGCCTACTGTATGTTATTGTTTCCCCTTCAAACATGCCTTGGCTTAGAAGAGTGGTTAAGAATCAGACTATATACTAGAGCCCTCCCACAGTCTTTCTATATATAAGGTCCATCTTGTCTCCATAAAGATGCTTGGATTCTTAAAATCTAGCCACTGCTTACTCATGTTCAGACTCCTTAAGGGTCTGCCCAATATGACGATGTTCTAGTAAACCTTGTCTTTGACTGAATAAAAAACTGAGAATCAGACCATATGGAAGTTAAATGAACATAATCTTAGCTTTCAAATAAGAGATAGACAAGTGACTTTACCAGAAAAAAGTAGGACTGTGCCATAGTTTTGTGTATGGTGGTACTATGTGGGGTTTATTTATTTATTTACTTTTGCCACCCTTCAGTATCCTCACATTCATGGCTGCTGACTTTAGTTCTCTAAGTAGAATTAGGAAAAACGGGGCTTTAGGCTTCATGTTCCATGTTATAAGATTTTGTTTTAGGTAAATTTACTTTACAGCAATGTGTTACTAAGCGTGTGACTTTTTCATCACCTAGTGATCATTATAAAAGCTATCTCATGTTTCAGTTAATCCAGAAAACTGTGTTGGAAGTATTATAAGTGAGTTAGTTGTATTATAGACAAGACAGTGTTACTTGAGAGAGAAATTGACCTGACCCACTCAGGGGACCTGGGTTTTGGCAGATCCATACCTCCCCATTTTTGTATGTTGCAAGAACCATTTTCCTGGTGTATCCTGTCTTAGTTCCTGATTGTGAAAGCATGTGTAGGTTGTTCATTTTTATTCTGGAACAAGATTCTGCCAGTTTTTGTAGTTAACATACTGTAGTATACTTCATTATCTAGAACTCGGGTAACGAGTTTACTATTTCACTTTGCAGTTATACAATGATAATTTGATGTTCTTAAAAGGAATGAAGTGGCTAAGAGAACATGAGTAAGGGCCTCAATCAGTAGGGCATTTATTAAGCTCTTATTAAGTGCCAGGTATTGTGGTAGGGATATAAATTTAAAAGTTAGATAGTCCTTGCCCTCAAGATGCTTACAAGGTCCAAAACTGTTTGTTGTACCATAAAATATATATTAAAGTTTATTCAGTGTAGTTGAAAACTGATGTACAATATGGTATTACTGTATATGGTAACTAAGAGCCCATTGTCCCCCAACTATTATGGATAAACTGTAGTTTACCATTCTGTGTGCTTTGTACTCTGAAGAAATGTTTTGAGAAGAAAAGGAGATTGTGCTGGGGTAAGAGATGTAATTTGTGTTTGTCAGAAGAGAATCACTATGTAAAGTCAAGATATTGGAAATGATGCTACGACTGATTTTTAGTATTGAGGCATGGTCTCCAGTAGAAAACAAGACAGAAAAGTGAGGGTCAAATCTTGGGTTCACATTTCTCTAGATTTAATTATTACTTTTTTGACTTGGGCTTTCACTTTATTTTGCCTAAATTTCTCATATTTGAAATGAAGACAGCACCAAAAATAATAATAATTTCAAAAGGAAATTGTCAAAGTTGAGTATTTCCTTATAAAGGAACTCTTTGGGATGATCAGAGAAGAGATATCACAAGTGTCAAGTACAATTTATTTGGTAAAACTTAGAATTATGTACATTTTACTGCCCCAGGGCCTGGCTCGTTAGTAGTAGGTGCTTAATAAATTTGATTTGGTTGATTGATTAATAGAGGACTTAGAGTGATTATAACATTCTCAGCTGAGTATTAATTTGATCCTACTTTCCCCCCATATTTCTTCCTATTAATTCATGACAAACTTTGTGTATTGACGTCTGTAATTTAGGAACACTTAGAAACATGCATGATAAATTAGTTTCTGAAAATGTATTTTGGTTCAGATCTGTGCCTGGAATTTAATTTAATCTCTTATATGCCTGAAAGACATGAACAACCTTGCTAGCCTTCCCCTGCTCCTAATATTTCTGTTCTTCTGTCTTAAAAAGACAAAAAAAAAATCATCCCACTTTGTTTTTGGCCCAGTGATATGTGCATTACATGCGGCAAAATCAGGATGATAATGTGGTATATATGGAGAGCTGGAAAACTTATTTGACTTGGAAAAAGGGTAATAAGCCTTAAAAGC